ATTAATTTTTATCTCGTGTGCAAAATATATGATGCTTCTATTCAAATTATTTGCTGTCTTGCAAGGATTCCAGCAATGCAAATTATGTTCTCCTAACTCTAGTCTGTGACATTATATAAGATAAAAACTGTAAGCCTAAAACCCTGGCTGGGCAACTACTAAATACTAACTGAATACTGTATACAGTTAACCCTCACTTTACGTGGTCCCACATTCCGCGTTTACGCGGTGCCTTGCCAGAACCTAACGTGCTCACATTACGCGGTACGTGAACCCCATTACGCGGAGAGTGTCCGGCGCGACACTATTTTTAGATTCGCCCCACCCGCCTGCCTGCCTGTGCTCCTCACCTCTCCCTCCTCCTCCCTCCGCTTGGGCAAGCCGCGCGGTAAGGTTGCGCAGTGTGTGTCTTTGTTGCGTTATCACTGACGTCATATGACGTATCGGACTGTGATTGGCCATGCATCCCGACCCCCCTCTGCTGCTAGCTGTAATTGGCTTAAAGTATTATGACGTGTCCACCCGGGGGAGGGAGGGAGGGAGGAAAGACCATCCTTGACCTAGCCGCGCCAGTTTCATCCCTCCACGCCAGACCGTGTAAACGTGCACCCATTGTTCTCTAAAATGGCTTCCGCCAGACCACCACCCCCAGAGAGAAACCTTTCCTTACCTGGACCCAGCGGCACTAAGCCAAAGAAGACACGACGTTCCTTAAGCTACGAGGTGAAGTATACCATCATCCAAGAGTTGGAGAAAGGAACAAGGCAGGTTGATTTGGCACGCCAGCATGGTGTGAATGAATCTACGATTCGAACAATAAAGAAGGATGCAGCCAAGATAAAGGAGCACATGAAGATCACAAAGTCTACAGGTGCTTCTATGATCAAGTATTTTCACAACCAGGTGCTTCTCAAGACAGAAAAATTACTTGTGAGGTACTTGGTGCGTCAGGCGCGACGGAACATGGCGGTCGACACGCGCTCTGTTAAGGACTACGCACGTGAACTGTACATCGCAGTGGCACGAAAGATGGGAATTACAGAGCCCAAACCCTTTAATGCTTCCTCTGGGTGGTTACAGAGGTTTAAGATCCGGAACAAGATCACCAATATAAACATTGGTGGTGAAGAAGCGAGTGCTGACCGTGCTGCGGCTAGGGAATTTCCTCCGTTTTTACGTGAGATTATGGAGGAAGGACAGTACAGTGACGACCAGGTGTTTAACATGGACGAATCTGGTCTTTTCTGGAAAAAGCTACCTTCCAAGTCCTTCGTTGTAAAGAATGCCAGCAAGATTCGGGGCCGGAAGATGCAGAAGGAACGCATCACCGTCCTGTTTACCACCAATGCCTCCGGTACCAGTAAGCTCAAGTTATCGGTGATCCACACAGCACGCAAGCCGCACGCCTACAAAACCATGGACATGACCAAGCTAAATGTCCACTGGCTGACCGCACGTAAGGCGTGGATGTTCTCTACACTGTCCCTCTCCTGGTTTGATGACTGTTTTGTTCCCGATGTAAAGAAATTCTGTGAGCGACAGAATGTGCCATTCAAGATTTTGTTGCTGCTGGACAACGCACCAGGACACTCGCCCCTACTGTTAGATCGTCACCCCAACGTAAAAGTGGTCTTCCTTCCTCCCAACACTACGTCTATATTACAGCCCATGGACCAAGAGTTAATCTGTAATGTAAAAGCTGCATTCTCTACGAAAAAATTCAAACTCCTGAACGACTACACCAACACCAGGGAAGAGTTGCGTAACCTGAGTGACACCACCACCGATAGCAAGAGCGAAGAAGATGAGGATCAACAGTTGGCACAGCAAAAAATACTGTTCAAACAATTCTGGAGAGTATTTAACATCAAGAAAGCTGTGGACTTCTTGGTGGAGTCATGGGATCAGCTGTCTATTGCTACAATTCGTCACGCATGGAGACATGTGTTGCATGGAATACCAGGTGAGAGGAGGAGTCAATCTGTGACTGGTGAGGTTCAGACTGTTGCAGTAGCAGTGGACCTTGCCAGAGAAGCTGCGCAGACTGTTACAGTTCCAGGCTTCTCCGAGACCACCAACAACGACATCCTGGAGGTGATCAGAGATCCTGAAGTGACTGCCGACGAGATGTTGGAAGAAGATCACGTCAGTGAAGAGGAAGAAGGTGCATCATTCTCCGAAGAACACAGTTTAACTCATAGTGATATTAAGGGTGCCATGGAGTGTGCAGAGAAAATGAAGTCCTTCCTTTCCCGCGACAATGACGATGACCGCTATGAAGTCTTCCATACCCGGCTGGTGCAGGCTATGGAGCCGTACATCACGGTGTATCACGACAACATAAACACCAGCCGTCAAAAAAGCATAACCGAGTTCTTCGCCCGCAACCCACCACAGCCAGCCCAAGCCAGTGATAGTGACAGTGAAGATGACTTTGAGGGATTTGTCAGGGAAGCCCTGACAACTGTAAGTGACAGTGATGGTGATTCACCTAGTAATGGTGATTCACCTGAGGGCCAGTAATCTGCCCTCTGCCTCGGAACCAGCCTCCATCCCCGTATGCCGACCCATCTCTTCTACTAACGTAAGTGTTCCACATAACTTTTAGTTTTCCTAACCTAACCTTTATTTTTCCTATGTTAACCTTTATTTTTCCTAACCTAACCTCTTCTATGTTACTTGTTTTTTCATACCATCATAAAGTTAAGATAAAATTTTTACTACAACAAAGTTGTGTGTCGTCAAAAAGTGGAGTTTGGGGGTCGGCCCGGACTCTATTTCAATTAATCCCATATGTTATGTTATTCACTTTACGCGTTCCTCACTTTCCGCGGGACCCTGTGGGTTACATTAACCGCGTAAATTGAGGGTTAACTGTAGTAAGAAAATAAACATCAAAACAAATAATGCATCGGTTGGTTAGGCATCAATATTAGCTGAATAACTATTTATCTATCTATCTACCAAGACATATTTGCTCATTATACAGGCACCATTCTGCCTGACACAACACTTGAGAAACTGGTCTTTTTTTACAATTTGCCCAAAACGTCCCACAATATTTTTGGGTTCAACTCTAGGTATGTCTCGTCATTTCTAACAACTTTTCTTAGTAACGTTTCCATCGCAAATGATTCGTTTTCGAGAAAATCTCATAAATTTGTTGGGGTGCCACTGAATATTTTCTAAGCCCAGTGCTGATGTAACCTGCATCCCCAGAGAGCTCCAGTGGTCAGAATCATTCAAAACACATAAAAAAAATTGGAAAAACGTGTTTCACGTCCAAATCCATTTTGGGCAACTTCTAAATTTTTACCTAGCTTGGATAGGTTATGTTGGTTGCTTTGATATGAGCTCTGTTGGCAGGTCCTGGAGGCAAAGCCCCCCCCCCATCATGCAATTATTACAGGGTGACATCTCATGTAAATTGTGTGGGTCTGGGCTCATAGGTTGTGGATGTTAGGTCAGGTTTTATTAGGATCTATGCATTATTTTGTATTCATTTTTATAAAATGTTAATAACATGATATTAAACACAGAAATGGAAATGACAATGCATAGAACCTAATAGAACCTGACAATATTTTTAATTATTCTATCCCGCTTCACAATTCTCCTCCCGGTGCCATTTTTGTTGTTTACCTCGCTGAATCCCTGTTCAAGAGACGTTTCCTATAAATGATGAACGCTTCCATGTGTTCCTCCTCACCATTGCTGATGCATATCAACCTTAATATTAAGGTAAGTTGTTTAACACATAAATTAGCATGATACTGCATAGAACCTGACCTAACATACCCATAGGTTGGGTATGTTAGGTCAGGTTCTATTAGGTTCTATGCATTGTCGTTTCCATTTTTGTGCTTAATATCATGACATTAGTGTGCAGAAAATTTTTCAACAAATTCGGGCAATTCCTTCTGGTGGTCACACTCTTCTACACCTTACCAAATTTAATATCAAAACCGTTCAAAAAAAAAAAAACATTGGACAAACTTAAGATTTATGTCCTCAAAAAAACATTGTGGGCAACTTGCAAAAATTTACAAACACCACCACCTCACTCTCGATATTCATTTCATTATAGTTGTCCATTATTCCCTGGAAGTTCGTGGTAAGGATGCGGATTTATTGAACTACCTTGTATGAGAGAGGTTATGGTGAATCAATACCTTGTATGAGAGAGGTTATGGTGAATCAATACCTTGTATGAGAGAGGTTATAGTGAATCAATGCCTTGTATGAGAGAGGTTATGGTGAATCAATGCCTTGTATGAGAGAGGTTATGGTGAATCAATACCTTGTATGAGAGAGGTTATGGTGAATCAATACCTTGTATGAGAGAGGTTATGGTGAATCAATGCCTTGTATGAGAGAGGTTATGGTGAATCAATGCCTTGTATGAGAGAGGTTATGGTGAATCAATACCTTGTATGAGAGAGGTTATGGTGAATCAATACCTTGTATGAGAGAGGTTATGGTGAATCAATGCCTTGTATGAGAGAGGTTATGGTGAATCAATACCTTGTATGAGAGAAATTAAGGTGAATCAATGCCTTGTATGAGAGAGGTTGTGGTGAATCAATACCTTGTATGAGAGAGGTTATGGTGAATCAATGCCTTGTATGAGAGGTTATGGTGAATCAATACCTTGTATGAGAGAAGTTATGGTGAATCAATGCCTTGTATGAGAGAGGTTATGGTGAATCAATGCCTTGTATGAGAGAGGTTATGGTGAATCAATACCTTGTATGAGAGAGGTTATGGTGAATCAATGCCTTGTATGAGAGAGGTTATGGTGAATCAATACCTTGTATGAGAGAGGTTATGGTGAATCAATACCTTGTATGAGAGAGGTTATGGTGAATCAATGCCTTGTATGAGAGGTTATGGTGAATCAATACCTTGTATGAGAGAGGTTATGGTGAATCAATACCTTGTATGAGAGAGGTTATGGTGAATCAATACCTTGTATGAGAGAGGTTATGGTGAATCAATACCTTGTATGAGAGAGGTTATGGTGAATCAATGTAAACAACCTCAAGGTCCACCTCCCAGCTGGTGGACGATGTAAACAAAACAATTTCTTTTAGCTCGTCGGTTGGCTATGATGTAAATTAATTAGTGATATATAGAAAACGTTCATAAATGAAGGAGGTTGATAAGTAATTAATATAATTTCAAATTTATTTTTCTAAAGTGTTATTTTCGGTAAAAAGTATAACAAACTATATATTTTCTGAATTGTGAATGCTGCCTCCGGCTCCATCTGCATTTAATTGAATTGAATTGAAACAGTTTATTTAGCCAGAAAAACACAAATACAGAGTGGATAATAATTATAGCAATATTAACATGGCTGAGCCAGTTGAGAACCTGAGCTCTCTTGTAGGCACCTGATTTATCTCAAAGAAGTGTGTAGTGGACGTCTCCCCTACAACCCCCTACAACTGCCTAGCGGCGTCACCACCTGCCACCACATTCCAACGTGCCGTTGCCTAGCAACCAAGCGAGAGCTGTCCCCAGATGTCACCGTATCTTAGCAACGGAACTAGTCACCGGCTACTTCTCGGGTTTTCCCAACATGACTCATAGAGGACTGGCGGCTGCTGCTGGGTGTATATAAGCTCTGTCTCTCCATTGAGATTCATTCTGACCAATCTTCTTGAACAAGCAACACCTCCTCCTCTGCCGCTGCCTGGCGGCCTTCGCTTCTCCTCGCCTGCCTGGCGGTCCTCGCTCCCGCCAGCGAGCATGGCGACCCACCAGCTGTCCTTCTCTGAGCTTCCTCACCAACCAACTCACATTCTGGCCCATCTTCCTGAACACGCAACACCTCCTCCAGCAAGCTCCACGCTGTCAGCATTCATTCAACCAGGAGGCCAGCAACAGGCAACATCTTCTCTAACGAAGCTCCTGCACATCTACCTCCTTCAACAAGCTACTCACCGAACGTCTCTACTGACCAGCTCCTCACCACACGGCACCTCCAGCACCAGACTGTCTATCATATAACTTATATTATACAAGAAAACCACATTAGAGTTTCCTTCCATCCTGAGTGCTAGACAACATTAATATCTCGATACCCCTACAAGTGTTATGTAACATTTAGTATCACCTGGAATAGTACTGTCGTGGATTAATCCCCTGCAAACGCTGTTTGTCGCTGAGTAGCCGACCCGGCGAATTCCCCAGTGTATGCCTCGTGGTCTAGGTCAACCAGCGCCGCCTTACCTGACGGAGGTCAACTATTAAGCCACGCCTACCTCAGCTATATAAGACCTGACTTCGTGGTGACCTACCTCTCTTTTCTACCTACACCAACCAGCAATCAACACCTCCACTCCTGCCTGGCGGCCCTCGCTCCCGCCGGACGACAATGGCGACCCACAAGCTGGTCCTCCTCTGAGCACCCTCACCAACCAGCTCTCTCTACTCAACGCTTGTAACCATGCTGCCTTCCCAACACCAAGCTGCATTGTACATCCAATACAACATGTATACAGAGAGCACATTGTGAGTTTCCTTTCTCCATCCCATCCTGAGTGTGAACTAATAACCCGTACCCCAAAAATGGTGACCCCGGAGATTCGCACTCACACAGGATGGAGGAGAAACTAATCACTCTCCCAGTCTTCAAGCAACATGGAAGACTGGCTTATCCACACAGAGGCAGCTCTCATCGGCTCTACAGCTACTGTCTCTACACCGCAGGTTAGACACCCTAGAGCAGCACTGCTTCTCTAAGCAGACACCAGCTCCTCTTCCTGCCCCAAGCACCACGTCCTACCGACCCCAGCACACCCGCCCTGCCTCAGACGTCGCCCCCAGCCCAGCAGTACCCCCTGCCACTGTCCTGCACCCTCCTCCTGACGCTGACCCTCCTCCGCTCCTGTCTGGCAGCCCCTGCTCCCAACGCGGCCCATGGGCCTGAGTGCGGCCCCACGCACCCTTTTTTTTCCCCTCAGGTACTCCCTGCTACTGTCCTGCACCCTGCTGCTGTCGTGGACCCTGCTGCTGTCATGCACCCTGCTGCTGTCATAGACCCTCTTCCTGACGCAGCCTCTGCTCCTGACCCAGGCCCATACACCCCAGCAGGCGCATTTGAGGACTCTGTACATGTCGCGAGGGAAGCACAACATTCATCGCCCCCACACACCCTTTTTTCCCTCTCCTCTCCCCCAGATCTCGTGTGTCTAGACCAGTGGTTCTCAACCTTGTTTGCCCCATGCACCCCTTTCACCATATGTCAGAATGTCATTCCCCCCTCCTTTCCAAGATTGTCTGCCTCAAAAAGTGCATTCCAAATAATATGCATATAATACTGAAAATCCTTTATTTTTTCCATATTAGTACATATACATTTACAATTTTACATGGATTATTTTTATAGTGGAGTTTTACAAATTAAATGCCAATTGAAAATGTTGATGGATTTATAAAACTTGAATAAAAGTAAAATAGTTTTTTTTTTATTTATAATGAATTACTTAACAGACCAAACTGAAGCATAATGCAATAAACAAAAAGTTCAATAGAATACCAGGATATTGTAAATTTGTAATTAATTTTATTCAGATGAAGATTCCAGTCAATGAGGAGCCTGTGATTGTTTTTTCTTCGCCAATTCTGGGATACGCGAAGCAGTGCTTGAAAGGGCACAACGCAGGTCATATTCTACCTCTAATCTACTACGTTGCTTTGTAACGACCACGGTCGTACACGTCAGTTAACGCCACAATCAAATGATTCATATTACGCTCAATAGCCCACAAAACATGTACCTCTGCTTTTATTTTGAGTCCTCCATCTGAGGAGTCCGTTTTCTCATCACTTCAAGACGCCTCAGTCCTCCGTTATCCCATTTTCTCTGACTTACTGAAACCAACCTCCTATAGAATGAATTTGAATGTGAGAGAGAACACCCTGGTTTTGAGTCAACTTAGATATGTCTGTTTACCGTTGAAACATTCAAGATCCATTGTGAGTGGTGTTGAACGCTTCAACTGTCCATATTGTTAATAAGACGAGTCAAGTAAGTGAGTGTTGAGTCTGCCAGGACAAACGATACCCATCAGTTTCGTTCCCTAAGAATACCCATGAGTTTCTGATCGCTACTGAAGTTATGTTATTTTGTCGCCCCGACATCAGAGAATCTGATGTTTGTAGTTTAGTTAGTGTCAGTTGTCTATTTAAGAAAGTCATTAATTTCCTGAATTATTCTGTCAACCGGTATAATCTCCAAGATCTAACGTCTCCCTGTGAATAGGTCCTTGTTCACCTCAGGCCTGAGCTCGCAGAATTGATGTTATCAACGTGTATATTCCACCTTTTCCTGGCAAGCTCAACCTCTGATTAGATTATATGAATAGACATAGAAAATTACCCTGATCAGGAACACCGGAGTTCATAATTAAGTATACGATGATCCAAAATGGTAGAGAAGGTATGTTGTTGGTAAGATCGACCTTTCTGGCATGAATATGGAGGCCCAAGCTGCCCCGCGGGTGCAGTATATACCTCTACACGAGGGAGAATCACGCATTCGTGACTCTTCCTCAACGTCTCTCCAGGTATGTTCATGTGTGTTCCCCGCCGCCTATTAATTCAGTTTAACTTCGTCAATTTTGTGAATATCAGTGTTCATGTGTTAACATAGTAACTTCTGTGCCAATTAAGTCGAGTAACGTAGAGATTTAGATATCGGCTGGACCGTTGCCAGACGTATGTTTTGTATAGTTGAAGTTAATTATTGACGCATTCGTGACTCTTCCTCAACGTATCTCCAGGCCAGTGTGTTGAGCTGAATACTCATCGGCTACCGTGGGTCGGTAGCCGAGTTGGACGATGCCGTTAATTCGACAGGATTAAACTGGGAAGTCCTTTTCCTGCAACTTAGGCGGCAGCTCCCTTGGCGTGTGTCGGTCTACAACCGACCCCCTGACAGCGATCTTCATTTGTTATGGAGACACTTGGGATATATACCCTGAGGCACTCCTCACAGTTACACGGGCCTAAGTATTATTGTATCTTGATTGAGGGATTAACTAACAGATGGAAATCCCAGGTTAAGCAGTGAAACCATAAATGTTGATATTACCAGGAAATATGTTATGTGAGTTGAGTACATGAACTGAAGGAAAAGTATCATGTTCATGACGATAGAACGTGAGGTTATAATTTGATTTGGGATAATGTCAAGTGTGTCATATTATCCACTTGCAGTAACAATGGAATAATATATTGATTGTTAAATGTTGTAACCAAGAATTGAAGATGTAATTTGTTACTTGTAAAAGCAAGACCTGAGGGTCCAGTGATATCGTGTGTATAATTACTGAATCTCATTTGTCAGAGGAATAATACAATTGTCTAATGAAGTAATAAGTATTTGGAGGTATTTAATGAGGTAATAAGTTCTTGAAGTGTTTGATGACGTAATAAGTTAATTGTGGTTCTGTTTTGTCTGAGTGAACCTAAGATGCATCTTCTCCATTCATTGTGTTAATAAATATTGAATTAGTAAACTACGAGTATCACCACTCTACTCCTTCTAAACATTGGTTCCCAGAAAATAATACTTACTCACGTGCCTAGACATCTACCACACTACCCAAAACTTTCCATGAGTTATGGTATATAATGAAAAGTGTGGGTGGTGGCAGCTACCCTTTGTAAGTATAAAAAGTGTTGTACAAAGAATAACATGGTTCCCCAGACTAACCCATGTATAAGAATAGACATATAACAAAGTATACTTCAGAAAGGAAAGAACATTGACTTGGAAAACATAAGTAGAGAAGCATAAGAGTTACTTTATAAGAATATATAAGAATATAAGGTATATAGAGATAAAGAACATATCAGAATATGAGCAAGAATACATAAGAATAAGTATATATATATATATATATATATATATATATATATATATATATATATATATATATATATATATATATATATATATATATATATATATATATATATATATATATGTGTGTGTGTAAAGAATTGAAGAAGGATAAGTATATAAAACAGGGTACTCATTGGAAAGAGTACTACACAGAACATATAAGTATATGAATAAATAGAATACTAACA